AAATGAAGAGTGCAGAATTTTAATTATTGTTATAATGCTAAATATTTGTTTTATGTTAATGTCACTACAACCTTTTGTTTATTTCCAGGTTTAACTGAACAAAAGATTTTCAGTGTGATTTCAAACTTTTGATCCCACTGTAGTTAAGTTACTGTAGTTAAAAAATATTTCAACATTGCTTTCCCTTTAAATCAAGAGCAATCTGTAGTTGTACTTTTTCTTGTCCAAAAGTAGTGTTTTTCTTGGTGTGTATTTGTGTTTGCTTGTGGGAAGGATGTGGCTTCAACCACTCAAGGTCAGCTCAGTGTTAAAGGCTCGTTAACACATTCCTGCTGATCTTTGATCAGTATTGAGTGACACGTGTCCTCTCTGACCTCTTCGATTTGAACAGCACATGCTATCGCTGTCTATATTGAGAATAAGACAAGTAAGCAATATTTGCTTGTTGCAGGGGTCTTCAACCTTATTTGTGACCCCTGTTACAGAATAAAATTGAGTGCTTAATTTTAATCATGGCATATAATAACATGCATGTAAGGCAATAATAATGTATTTACATGCTTTTTTAACATTCAAATAATCACAGTATACATTACATTACATTTTCGCTTAACTTCATTATTCATTTCTTCGTTTTATTCTTGGAGACAAAGAAACATTTAGCTGTACTTTAGCTTTTTTCAGGCATTCATATGTCTCAGCGAATGAAAAGCAATCTTTTCTTCCGTCTTACACACCTCTCTCTCAATCGTTTTTGGCATGTAGGTCATTAGATATTCTACACCTCACACATTCTCAACTTCTCGCTCGGTGTCTCAGCTCAATAGCAGTGGCAGACATTAATTATGAGTTTGCTGTTTGAAAATAAAGTGATACCTACAGGCAAAAAGCCATGTGTTATTTGTATGCAGATCACAGGTGAGAGCATGTGTTAATATTTAAATTACAGACATTTATGTAGCTGCTGGCACCAGTAGTGATTGCTTGAGTCTTTGTTCTTGTGTGTGAATTGCACGGTGGGTCATTCATCATGAGTGGACATTGTTGTTCTAGACAGATTTAGTAAAATTGTTCCTATGCATCTGTGGATAGTAACACAGAAATCTGCACTGAATTTACATAATAAAAGTTCCACTCAGGTTCAATCTTATGGTGCATTAAACCACAACAAGAGGAAGAGCCCAAGAAGAGTAGTAGATAAGATATCAAAACATAATGACTGATTCATCTCGTATATGGTGCTGCCACAGACACAGTGGCCTGTGCTGTTTGTTACAAATTAAATGTTTAATAATTACATTTTCATAGGGGGGAAATGTTATTATTATTAGTATTAGTATTAGTATTAGTATTATTAATGTTGTTGTTGTCATATAATTGCAAAATACAATTTCATGTATGGAGATAAATATTTATGACTGAAATTCTCCTGCCATTGGCAAAAAGTTAATTTTGGACCTGTGTGTGTGTGAAGAAAGAGAGGCAGACTACAAAAACAGCTTTTAAACGAAGGAAGATTTGTTTATTCAAGCTTTCAGTGGAAAGTATCGCTTGAAACTAATATAACAAAATTCAGCAAAATATTCTCAACTCCTTTTCTACATTATCTGTGCAGCTTTATTCATGACTACCTCCCGCTTGTCCTCGCACATAGTTATTTATTTGATGTTGCTTCTCATTAAAGAGAAAGCAATAACAAGAATCACTATTGAAGTGGAATGCCCTACGGCCATTGAAATAAAAAGTATCTCTGGACTCAAACTCGCTTTGGAGTTTCACATGCACAAAGACCACAAAAAGATACTGAAGGCACGATTCTCTAAGAATAAATTGCACCCGCTGATAGTTGCATTTAGTTTGCATGCACTGTTTACTTTGCATTTAGCATCCGTTTCACTAAAAAATATAAAGGAAATAATCAGGTAGCAAGTAACAGCGCAAACATGCACAACAATTTTGTTGAACGCAATTTGCATGACACAGTTTCCAATCTTTCAGCACTATCTGGATGCCGATGACCACTGCAAAAGTTTACCCTGAAAAGAATGCCAATTTCATGGCACCATTTGCTGTGAGTAAATGGTCATTATTTAAGCTATATAAGACTATGTATAGCTTAAATAAGACTATAATAGAAACATAGATAGTAAAATAATAATAGTAATCTAATTGCAACTTTTAGAAAATTTAGCGTCAAGTTAATATGGATTGCATTTGATTAGTGAAAACGTTTTGAGCTGAAATGCATGCAAAAGTGGCAAAAATATTTAGTGAATTCACCCATAGTCTTCGGGGGGAAAAAACTGCTGTATATTTTTTGGTCACTGTTACTTAAAAAAAAAATTGCATTTCCTTTCATCCAGAGTTGTTCTTAAATTTCATTTTGTGGGTATAATCAGTATATTTCCATCCCATCCACATCCCACATTTTTGGTAGGCACAGATAATGAGGGGAAAAGCTATAAACAGAAACAGACTGAAATATAATACTTTCATTATGGTGCTGGGGCTCTGGGGCTGTACTCAACCTCCAGAAGAAAACTAAAGATTATTAGCTGGGTACTCCACAAGATCAGGCTTAAATGGTATTCTGCTTCGTTATGGTTTGGGCTCTTGCCCTGCTTAAGTGCACAAATGGTTGCTTAAATTCATGTGTTGAAATGTTGGTAAGGTATTCACTTTCTCTGGAAATATAAAAGACATAGAATGAGGAGATATAGAAGACTTAGATATATGGAGACATAGAATGTTATGTGATTCATCCTGGTTCTGTGTGCATTTGTGTGTTTGACAATGTTTGTATTGGTCGATATTCCCCAGTTCACACTTTGACTTTGTTGTCGTTGACATTAGATTAAAGCAAACATGATTTGTTTATTTTATACGCTTTTCAAATAGTTAGGACCACTTGAAATGTCAGTTTTTGACATGCTTCACTATATTTGTGAATACTTTTTAGATTTGTCCCAGGTATAGCTAAACCTACACATACTCTCTTTTACTGTTTCTCTGTTTACAGCATTAGTTGAATAAAGAATAAGAGTAGAATATATATATATTTTTAAACTACAGGAAACATGGTTGAATTCAGGTACAAATGGTGTGTAAATAGTGGTTCATTTGTGTTTTGTGAAGATGACTTTTTATCGTTTATTTGGTGAATATTGTTGAAAATCCTTTTATATTGTTGTGCCAAGTGTGCAATATTTTGATTGATTAAAGGTTCTCTCTCTCTCTCTCTCTCTCTCTCTTTATCTATCGCTCTCTCACACACACATTTATTTTCTTCTCCTCTTTCACATCCTCTGACAGTAATATACATTGCTAATGTACTGTACTTCCTTTGTTCCTTTGTTCAATACCACTGAATGTGTGTGTGTGTGTGTGTGTGTGTACCTGTTTTTCTATTCTGGTGGGGACTTAAACCTGAATACACACAGACTCGTGGGGACTCGTGTCACGGTGGGGACCTAAATTGAGGTCCCCACGGGTAAACAAGCTAATAAATCACACAGAATTAAGTTTTTTGAAAATCTAAAAATGCACAAAGTTTCCTGTGAGGGGTAGGTTTAGGGGTAGGGTTGGTGTAGGGCAATAGAAAATACGGTCTGTACAGTAGAAAAACCATTACACCTATGGAGAGTCCCCACAAGGATAGCTGACCAGACATGTGTGTGTGTGCCATATTCACCCTTTGATTTTGTTTCAATTAACTAGGCCATTATCTATTTGCATTACAGACCACTAGCTATGTGTTTACCTGAACCATTTACAAACATTATTAATTCCTCAGCTGACCCAGCACCAGACTGCAACCAGTGTGGAATAAGAACAGCTCTGTGCAAAAGAAAAGATCTCTGCTAATGCTTAATTAATACACATAGTAAATCAGGCATAAACATTCATTTAGATTAAGCAAAATAGGCGCTATTCTAGCTACAAAAAATGCAATTAGACAAGGATGAAAATGTATTCAAACCTGAGACTTTAAATAGTTCACCCTCACATTCAGACAGAATCGCCATATCTATATCTATGTATACAGCAATTCTACTTGAATGTGAGGGAACTATCCAAAGTCTCAGGTTTGAAAACATTTTCATCCTAATTGCATTTTTTTTTTCTAGAATGTAGCTACTGCTGTATAGAGATAGATACGGATATAGATAGATAGACAGACAGGTAGATCTCTGAATAGAGTTTATGTACCTCTGCTGACGTTACCCTATGCTACTGCTGACAAGTAGAAGATCTATACAGGTATTTTATGTTAAATGCTTGACGGTATGCGGTTTTGTGCTTATTTTTTACATTTTCATGCCAAATCATTATCTTTCGAAGAAATGTCAAAGCAGCTTCTTAACCACCATATGTTTTACATCCAGCTAAGAACATAAAATACATTTTTAAGTTTTTCTCCCCCTCTCAAAATCTCAAAAATAAAATTCGAAGTGGTTTATCAACTTTGTTAAGCAGCTTAGCTATAACATTAGCATAGTTCCTGTCAGCTAAAATAGCAGATCGCTTTAGTCCCTGAAGTGATTTGCTAGATATTTCCTAAGGTAGTTTTGAGAGCATATTGGTATTTGTGTTTAATTCTCTTCATACAGCCATTTGAATTCATTTAATCTAATTTTACGTGATTTTTTTTTTAAAACTCTGAATCAAGTCTGAAAGATTTTAATTGGATGAATTAAAAAAGGATTGATTTGGATCATTAGAAACTGTGTCTCATTAGCAATCAATACATCTACATCATAATGGATTAAAATGAATCAAAGCAGATTGCTTGATATTGGTGTGAGTGCTAAGTGGGCAAACTTCTTTCGTGGATAAACATTTCAAAAGGAGGAAGATCAGCTAATTAATTACGCAGCTGTGATTGTCAGATAAAAGTGAGATTGCTGTTTCAAGTTTGTGTAATGAATTCTACTCCACTTCAGGGTTTATTCATTAGTTAGTGCTGATAACTGCTCTCTCTCTTTCTCTCTTTCTGTTAGTGTGGATTTGGTTCACGCACAGCTGCGTGTGTGTGAGGGCCGTAGTCTTCCTGAGCTGGGTCTCGAGCAGGACAAGATCCAGATCAATGGCTGTGCCATTCAGTGCCGGGTCACTACAGAAGACCCTTCCCGTGGTTTTCAACCAGACACAGGTCGCATAGAGGTATGTCTGCTAAATGACATGCAGTTATGCAAATTACAGTAACATCTCCCCAATTAATAATAAAGGATGTGACAGATTGTGAAGTAACAGGAAGCAAAATATGAAGGCAACAGAAAACTATAAACAAATATCTGATACTAGTCTATTCAATAACATCTATATTCATAATAAAATTAATTTATTTTCTTTCCCTCTAATTTTGTTTGTTATATAGCCGCTATTATTTTTTTTGGAGCTGAAACCAAGAAAATCTGCAACTAAAGCTACAATCACATTGTTTTACAATCTGGCCATTACAGCTCATATATCTGGATGCGCTCTGCATTCATACACACTAAAACACACAAAAACTCTCACAACATTTTCAAAGAGGCGTTATTTTGATGATTCATCGAGCTGCGAGCATTGATTGAAAGCGATTTTTAGGGAGCGCTCTTATTGAGTTGAAAGAGGGAACTAGACATCTGCATTGCTCAAACTGACGCACTGTTCTGTTCCAGTGGCAACATTATAATGTTACTGAGAACACCATCACAAGAGCAGAACAAGCTCCATTCATCTGTGTTGAGTGCTGCTGAGAAACTGCATTTAACTCTCTTCTTATGTGCAAAGAATTCTGGCTTCGTATAATACAATTTCCACTGTGGATGGACTAAAAAACCTCAGCATGTTAGAACAGGGTATGAGTAATTGGCCTTCATTACTTAAGTCTTGATTTGAGGATTTTGGGCTTCACTCAAATGCTAATCAGACCGAACACTTGTATTCAAATATGTTTGTAAATTGTATATATACACATTTTTTTTTTTGTCATTTAGACATTTAATTGTCACTCATATTGTCATCAGGCAGGTCATGCTGACTGATTTTTTTTTTTGCTACTAAATGCCAACCAAAGTGTGTTCCTGGGTATTTTATTTTGGCTTTTAAATACAATTCAATGAAACCAGTTTCAACAGGTAGCTGTGCTAAGTGTAATTGCATCATGACTTTGAAATGTGACATGCCTAAAGATTCTCACCCCAAGATATAAGTTTAAGTGTTATAAAGCTTGCTTTGACATTAGGTGATGGCCACACATTTCATATTTTATCTTCATCTTTCATCTCTGGATTGGAAACTATTTGACATATCAAAATAGCATTAGTAAAAGTTTAGGAAGTTAGAACAGAGTGCCTGTGGAAACTTTCATCTTTTTTTTTTCTTCCGTTCCAATAGCTGCACAAGTTTTCTATTAAAAAGTGCAATTGTGATTTAAAATTTCAGCTTGTTTGTAGGACTACAGAATTTGGCCAAAATGTTGTGATTAATCAATAACGACTATTAATAAATATGGCTATAAAATAATAATAATAATAATAACAATCATTATTATCAATTTATGTTATATTATGATTAAAATTACAATACTAATATTAATGGCTGTCTTTTATTTTAACAGAAAACCACAAGGAACTCTTAAAGCTTCTCTTTTGCTGATAAGTGCTTCTCATTAAAAATATGGAAAGATGGCAGCCACATGTTGTTTACCAAATGTACATACAAGTCGCAGAGATGGAGTTTGTGTGGAACAGTATTTAGTGTGGGACGAGCAGCTCTGATACAGTGCAGACACTGGCGGATAATGAGCTGCTCACGAAAGAACACTGTGCCGCATTTCGCTCTGAAACACGCAGCACATATATTTATTTAATTAAATTGCAGCTTTTTGCGATTTGATAATCGCACTAAACCATATCGTGATTTGGGTTTTATTTCCATTAATTGTGCATGCCTATGTTGTGCATGAATGACAAAAAAAGCTAACCACTAAGTATCTAACCTAGTATCTAACTAGCATTAAGTGATGATTGTCAGTGAGTTAGATGTGTGAAATGCATCTGTTTATCCTAATTTTAAAAATAATAATGATAAACGATACTACATATAATACTTCTAAGTCTTTCTTATCACCATCCTTATTTCTTATGTGACAAAAAGATGCTTGGACATTCTGCCCGGCATCTCATGGGGGAAAAACAGGGATCAAACTATATGGAGATGCATGGTGACAAAATTTGCATTTTTGTATGAACTATTAATGTGTCCTATATCTCTAACTTACAACTATCCGTCCTCTCCTTTCCTCCCACTTCCTCTGTTTGCTTAATTTTCTCTTTCTTATCTTTTCTTCCCAGCAGGTAGAACAGCAGACATGATCAGAGAGTGGGGGACTCAGCAAACATAGATGTAGTTCAGCCATGAAATGTGTGTACCTAAAAAAAAATGCGCTGTTAAAAATGCATGGCCAAACATAATAAATCCTGGGTTGGATGAATAAGTCATGGTTTGAGTGCTCCAGAGAGGTGGAAGAGATGCACAGAGGGAGGAAAGAGAGAGAAAGCTCAGCGAGAAAGGGCTTAAAACGTCTGACCCAGCAAGAGATCATAGCATTTTAGTTGAGCGAGAGAGAGAAAGAGAGATAAAGAGGTGAAGAAAATGAAAGAATGACTCCCCGAGCACAGAAATGCACACAGTCCTTCGACCCCTAGAGGACGCAGTTCGAAGTTCCCATGAAAGGGAACAGTGGGATACAGAAGGAGATGGGGACTGTTGAATTAAAATGCTGTTGACAGTAGATTTCTCATTGCTTGGCTTTTGGAGACTGTCTACTCACACTTTATATTCTTAGGAGTTGAATTTACTTACTAATTTGAGCCACTTGGGAAACTTGTTCCATCAAATGAAGTAAGGACATCACTGAAAACTTGTGTCATGTAGTTCACCTAATGTGGTCTCCTAAAAGAGTCAACTTAACCATTTAATTGAAGTTGTTTAATTGTAGGTAGATTCAGTTAATTGTTTCTACTCAATCCTTTCAGTTGATTCACTCTCATGAACTAAATTATAGTCATCATATTAATTATATTGTCGTTTTACTGACTCTGGCTCAGTCAAACATGATAGATTTACCCAATATTTATGTGTGCCTAAAGCTCATTTTTGAGGAGCAAAATTACTTCAAACGGTTTCCCACTTTGTTCAAATGGAACCCTAATCACCCTAATGGTGAATGCGTAAAAAAAAAAAAAATCTGGAGTACTATTAAGAGCAAAAACTATTAATTCTTAAAAACAACTATGTCCCCCTAAATTCCCGCCCTTTTATCAAGCATACAGAATTAAATTATTCAAGCATAGAGGCTTATGTGTATTCCCCCCAGCTACAGTGCTCAGGAGCAGACACAACAATATGAAGTTCATTGCAAAGCCTTAGCTTTATTAAGGATTTATCATTCAGTCCAATTAGCTGAAACAGAAAACATATGGATTCAACAAGTTTCTACCAGCCAGAGCAATATTTCTTCCAAATAAAGAAATACTGCAGGGAGGGCATGTTGTTGTTATTCAAAATGAACTCATACACATAAGTTAGTACGGCCAGTCAGATCAAAGAGAGAGTGTTATTTTACAATTTATGACATTTTATTAATACTTAAGGTTTAATTTTATGATTTATGTACTTTTACTTACTTTTAGTCATTTAGCAGACGCTTTTATCCAACACTTTCCTGTTTATCCCAACAAATGGCCAAGCAAAGTGCACGACCATGTAATATGTAATACTTTCAGGAAGAATGTTCCCCACTCCTTCTTTCTTTCTTTTAATTTTAATTTTTTTATTTTAATTTATTTATTTTTTTGTAAATCTTTTTTTACCCTCACCTACTTTTGTACTAAGTGTATCAGATTATTCATTTGATAATTTTGTAAAGGTGACAGGACACAAAAATTATGGCTCCCAAATTTCCAATCACAGTAGTTGCTTTAAACATGCTAGGCTATATGCTTCTTTATTATGAGTTTTGCTTTTGTTTTCTTTTGTTTCGTTTTGGATAAGAGATATGGATCAATGGATAAGAGATATGGACTCTGTTCACACAGTCAATGTTTAAGATTGCGACAGTCAGCGAGTTGTCAACTGTATGATTTCTGCTCATTCAGCACATATCATCCAGACTTGGTCTGTGGTTATAGAACCAAACTCTTTTTTTCACAACAGAACTGTTTGTGAACAGTTTTAGCTGTCTGATCATGAATGGTAATGGTTTTCTGCAGCATGAACAGTCACTGTGAATCGTGCCCCGTCTGCGTGAGACATTCACATGCACATTCACACACACTTCCTCCATGCAATCAGTATAGATTGAATTCCTCTCTCAATCACATATATTTTGCTCTCTCCCTCACTATACTCCTCCTCCTCACCCCATCAGCCTTTTTCTCTCAGCGAGGATGAAATGCTACCTTACAGTGCATGTGAAATGCAAAAATACATTAGTTAACACAGACACTCTCAGTCGCAATATTAAAACAATCTGTGGCAACACACTGTGAGCAGAGACTCCCAGCTATACCGTAGAGCTTATGTTTTACTATGCATATACAGTGGGATCCAAAAGTCTGATATCATATTGAAAATCTGAGAGTTTTTCCCATTTATACCTTGAAATGAACAAAGTTGTAGTATTTATACTGAAGACACATTACAAAATAAAATGAAGGATATCTATTTTAGATTTTGCACAGTTTCTAGGTCACTAGTCATGTATAAGTAAAGTTGCAACATTGCTCCTGTGACTCTTTGTACAGACAGACAGACGTTCTTGCAATAAAGCTCCAGGTGCACTTTAGATCACCTCAAATAATGAGAAAATCATCAGGTTTTTCACAAATGTATGGACTTAAAGTTAAATACATTATGTTAATGTTGAAACTTTTCACACAAATTTTCATGATGACAGTATCGTTTGGAAATGTTCAGATAGAAGCATATTCAATAGCTCAGTCTTATGAATCCCACTGTATGTATATTATATGCACATACTCAGCCCACTGCAATTATTATGCAGAGCTGGTGCACACAGAATAATATATTAACAGACACAAGCATCATGTGTGTGCTTAGACGGCTTTGCTTTGAGTTGTTAACCCTCAAGCAGGAAGATAAAAAGGCTTAGA